AATATTGTCGTTGATTATCCGGATCAATTTGCTCCGTTCATTACTTCATTTGGTATTTCATGCAAAAAGAAATTGGATTGTACTCTTTTTCGTTATCCTCTTCGTACAATTCAAGATTCTAAGGATTCCGAAATTTCAAAGAATGAATATAATCCATCAAAGATATTAGAAATGTTTGACAAATTTTATGAAAATGAAAGCATAAATTGTCTACTTTTTTTGAAATATGTTGAAAATATCAAATTTTTTGAGTTAAAAGAAAATGAGACAATTCCAAAGTTACTCTATTCAATAGAGATTGTAAATGCAAAACAAATATGTAAGAAACGTAGGTTAATTGCTGAAAGGATCGTTTCCTTAATGAAAGAACTTGATGAAAAAAAACTCTCTGGTAACACTGCCTTGGAATCTATGTTTATTGCAACTTTCCGTCAACAAAAAAATGATGAAAAACCACAAGAAAGTGAATGGATTATTTTTTCTATGCTTGGTGATTTAAATACGACTGCAAATCATTTTCAAGAAACTTTTAAAAAGAATTTAATTGATTATAAACTTATTCCAAATGTTGGAATTGCTGTTCAGCTTAATAATCCCGAAGCTATTGGAAAATTATTTTGCTTTCTTCCTCTTCCGATATCAATTCCTTTTCGTGTTTCTCTACATGGTCATTTTGCTGTAAGTTCACGTTTAATTATTTATATATTGTTTCGTAATGTATTTTAATTTTAATTTTAATTTTTTTTTTTTTTGTTATAATTTAAAGGTCAGCACAAATCGACGTTCATTATGGTCCGCTGCTGATGGCGAAGACTTGGTATTCTAATTTTAAATCATGTGTTCATGTTAAAATCTGTTTAATAAATAATTAATTTTGTTCGTTTTTAATAGGCTGAAGGTACATTAGCTAAACTCAAAGTTTCATGGAATGAATACCTTTTCAATAATATAATTCCACAAGCTTGGGCAAAATTTTTAATCCAACTTGATTTCGAGGTACCTAGCATCGAGGCCAAAGAAATTTATAGTTTTTGGCCGATTATTAAAGAATCTAAATCTAGAAGTTTCGTAAATAATCAATGCAATAAACTTTTATTAAATACTATCGAAAATTTCAACATTAAAGATAAAGTTTTTTGCGGTCCTCCAAAATCTTGCTCACTTGGAGACATGACTGGTATATTACCTTCATATTCAAAGGTTCAATTGTCCTGTGGAAATCTGTTTCATATATTATCAATCGAAAATGGGTTTCTTCCTGATGAATCTGCGAATCTTAAGATTTCAAACATACTTGAAAGTATAGGATTTCCTATGATTAAGATTGATCCTAAAATATATGAAGAATTAAAAAAATCCAAGCATAAAAAATTTTTAAATATTTGTTCTCCACATTTCGTTAGAATGTATCTTCTTAATAATAAATCAAGATGGGAAAACCAAAAAAGAGATGTAATTATATCGTTATTTGAATATGTACTGAGAGATAAAAATTATACGGAATTGGAAGGTCTTGCAATGATTCCATTATCTGATGGAACTTTTGGAACAATTTTACAACCGAAAAAATTTACCTCTTATTTTGGAATTATACCAAAATCAAAGAATCTTATTGCTTATATTGGACCAGATAATAATATTTCCATTGGAGATAATGATGAACGAAAAATATTTGGAAAAAGTTTGAACAAATTTATTGATAAAAATATTCCTTCCGAATTATGGGATTTATTATATAAAGGTGCTCGAGAAGGATGGGACCTCAATATTAAGATCCTAGAACCTTCCGTAGTGGTAGATCTAATAACGAAAGAATCGAATGGACTTTCAACTGGATGTGATGAAATTCCATTAAATAATTCTTTTGATTTGATTTTTAAAATTTGGGCAAATTTTAAAGAAAGGGACTATGATTTGACTGAATTTGAGAATGTTCATCTAATACCTACTAATAGCGATACTCTTAGAAAATTAAAAACCAATCAAAAATGTTTTTGGAATATTGTTGATAATAAACTTGATAATGATGTACAACCTCTCATTGAGAGATTTGGTGTCATTTTCGTTGATAAGCAATTTGAGAAACTTGATATTTATAACAAATCAAAGTAGTATATATATATTTTACTTTAAATGTTATAATCTGAAATTTATTTTATATTGAATTTTTTTTTTTTTTTTTAATTTTATTAGGTTATCAAAATACGTAATTAGCCTTGAAAATTTAACCGAGGTTTTAGTTTGCTTACGTACAGCTACTACATTCCCAAAAAATGTTCAGATAAAGTTACAACCTCAAGAAGTGGAAATAATGATTAATTATTTACTTCGGTTTAACTCTAATAATCCTTTAGATAAATTAATCGAAAATCTTCCAATTTTTACTGAAGTTGGTAAAGAAGAGTTTATCGCACTTGAAGCTAATAGAAGTTGGTATTTACTTCCTAGTGAAGATGAGAAAGATTATGGAAAAATAATAACACCAAATTCAGTGGGATTTCTTGATGCAACAACACCTAATAAAAGATTTCTTTTGGAAACTATCGTAAAAGTTAAACGATTATCAAGACAAGATTATTGGACTAAATTTGTGATTCCATATTTGGGAAGTCAAACTTTGGAAACAATTGAAATTGTTATTATAAAACTATTTGAACGGTTACCATTTCTACTTTCAAAGGATCCAAATTTAAAATCTATTTTAGGAAATATGGCATTTATACCAACAAGCACTATTCTTAATACACAACAAAGACAAGAATCAAATATTGAATTAAAAAAACCTATCGAACTATTTGATCCTGATAATAAATATATTAGAGAATTATTTTTTGATAATGAACGTTTATTTCCTGCCAAAATTTTTGAAGAAAAATTTCGAGATAACTTTTTAACATCATTAAAAACTCTAGGAATGAAAACATGTCTTTCTTCATTTGATATTATTAAACGATTTGATGAATTTGAAAAACGAAGGAATAATGAAAAAGATATTGTACACCAAATATCTTTAAAATTAGTTCAATATATTGATAAGAATTATAATAGACTTTTCGAAACTAATTTACTTCAAATGAATGGGACTTCAGGTCATTATATTTTAAACGGTGGATTTTCATTAAAATTACTCGCAACAAAATGGATTCCAACAGTTGATTCCACTGGTAAAAAATTATTTTCAACATCATACGAATGTCGAAGTATAAAACTTAAAAATTTGGTGGGGTTTGTAATGCCAATTATTGAGTATACTTTTGAGAACAAATCTTTCAGCGACCATATAGGTTGTGATTTATGCCCTCCCGAAGATAAAGTTATCGCGCAACTTATAACTTGTTCATCCATGAAAACGATACATGAGAATAGTTCCAAAATATGCGAAGCAGTATATAGATATATGAATGAATGGATGGATAATACTTCAGTGTTGGCAAAATTTAAAGAAAAACTTAAAGACAAAAAATGGATTTTTTGCAATGATAAATTTTATTCTCAAGAAAGTGTCGTGATTGAGCTTGATAAAAGTTTGGGCAGTAATGAAATAATCATTGAACTTCCCCATGAATTTAAACCATTTAAAGGATTATTTAAAGAGATGGGAGTCAAACAAAAAATGGGTGTACCTGATTTAATCAATATCATAAAAGGTTTTCACTCTACAAAGTCAAAATCGAATGAAGAGTTACAAAATTCGACTGATTCTCTATCAAATGAAGAATCACAAAATTCTATTGATTCAATTTTGAATGAAGAATCCACTGATTCTGTAAAGATTCTATCGAATGAAGAATTACACAAGGTGGTAGGAGTAATTGAATTAATCGCAAATAGAATTGATGAGCAAAGTAATTTTCATGAAAGTTTAGAAGAATTATTGATACCAAATACAAATCTTCAATTGGTGAATTTATATGAGATTTATTATGATGATATGAGAGAAAGGTTAAGTGATGACGATAAAAATGGATTAAACATAGCACATTCTTCGATCTCTTATTCTGTTGCAAAAACTCTTGGGATGAAAATGCTTGCTGGAAATGTTATTGGTAGAGTATGACTTTATCTTTTTTTTTTCGTATTATTTAATTGATAATTTAATTTAATTAATTTATTTCTTTTTATTTAGCCGATACAAGTAATGATTATGGAGAAGTTTATGAACAACATGAACAATTAGCTGTTAGAATACGTAATATCATTAATGTAAATACTTGTAAATTATATTATTATTTGTTTAATGAAAATAGAAATGGTCGATAGTTTAACAATTTAATTAATTAATTATTTGTTTTAGGATTATTCACTTGGATCGATATTTAACGAATTCCTACAGGTACAGATAGTATTAAATAAATTAGTGCTTTTTATTTATAAGAGTTATACATATGATTTAAATTTTATTACTTTCACAGAATGCAGATGATGCGGGAGCAAGAAAAATTTGCTTTATTATTGATGAAAGAGATTACAGAAAATCAAATAAATTTTCAATTTTTAACTTGCTTAATAATAAAAATACGGAAAAACAAAGTTCATTATTATCTGATGAAATGAATCAATGGCAAGGTCCAGCTTTATGGATATATAACGATTCAGAATTTACTCCACATGATTTTAATTCAATAATAAAACTTGGTATGGGAGGAAAGAAGGATGATAGAACAAAAATAGGAAGATTTGGAGTTGGATTTAATTGCGTTTATCATTTGACCGATGTTCCTAGCTTTGTAATAAAAACTTTTATTTATTACCTTAAATGTTTATATAACTTTTTTTTTTTTTTTAAAAAAAAATAAGCTAATTAATTTCATTTTATTCTTTATTTTAAAATAAAGGTTAGTGGTGAGCATATAGTTTTCTTTGACCCACTGGAAAAATGTTTACCAAAAACCGGAAATCCACCTCGTAGTCGTCGTGGAATAAAATTTAACTTTATCGAAAAAAATTTCAAAAAACGATTTGAAGATCAAGCATTCCCATATGCTGCAATTTTTGGTTGTGAACTTAAAGAGAAATTTAATGGAACTTTATTCAGAATACCTTTAAGAACCACATCAAGTGAATTATCAAATCAGGTATTAAAACCGCAAGAATTAAGAAACAAACTTTTTGAAAATGTACAAGCAAATCGTGAATTGTTATTTTTAAGAAATATTGAACAATGTAGTTTATACCAAATTAATGTAATAGATAAATTAGATTTAGTTTGGAATGCAAAAATTCAAAATATTAATGATAATATTCGTGAACGTCGTATTTCACATTCAAATGAAGCGAAAATATATCAACTAGAAATGGAAATGTATTGTAAACATAGTAGGCTCCATAGGAATGGTAAAAGTTCGGAAAGTTGGATAATCTGCTCTGGTGGAGATGATACGATAGATAAATACAGATTCAGGGATATGGCTAAAGAATTTAACCTTTCTGTAAGTTATTAAATAATTGTTCTGTATTAATTAAATAACTAACAATTTATTTATTTTAAGGCAAGAGGTGGTGTTGCTGCATTATTGTCTCAGGAAGATGCCAGATCACCGGATGCAGAAAAGGTAACATTTTTAGATTATATCAAATTTCTTCATGTGATTGTTTTATTAACTTTTAATATCTTGGTTCATATTAGTCTTCCAATATTCCAGAACTCAATGGAAGAGTTTATTCGTATCTTTCACTTCCAATTTCTACATCCCTAGGTGTTCATATTAATGGAACATTTTATCTATCTACTGACAGAAAGAACGTTTTACAAGCTGACAGTGATCTCTTAACAGCAGACACAAAAGAAGGAGAATGGAATAGATATATTTTACTGGACGTTTTGCCCCCATTACACTCAAAACTCCTAGAACATATAGCTAATCAATTGAAATTGCCATTTAATGGCCAAACATCTACGCGACTGTGGCCAATACAACCTTCAACTAAAGGTATATATCAAACATATGGATTAAATGTGCTTCGAGGATTATACATTAAAAGATATAAAGTCTTTTGGACTGAAGCAAATGGAGGTGCTCTAATTCCATTAGATAAAGGATGTTTTACGGCTTCAA